GTAGTTATTTTTGGGGTTAAGGGATGTAGAATATGGTCATGCATTAATATGTGCTTTTTAAGTACTAGTGCTTTTAATATGCATGTTAATAAGTTAACTAGTTAATAGTGTATAGTGTTACTTAACATTTTCAGTATTTAAAAAAAGTAAATGTTAACTGAAATAAATTTAATATATATTTAAAACATGTATTTTATTTCAGCTAGTAGCCAAGACAATATTTCTCATTTTTGTTTAGGTTAACTTCCAAAATAGTTCCAAAATAACTAAAACTAAATAAACTAAAAGTAATTAACAAATAATACAGACATATTAAAAAAATGGCAAAAACACAACAAAATTAATAAAAAATGTAAGTAAAATTAAAGTGAAAACTGAAAATCTAAAAATAAAATGTCATTAATAATATTCATAGTCTAATTCATAATATAAACAAAAACTGTAACAGTATCTCAATGATAATAAAACGATATTAGATTATACAATGCAAAAAATACACTGTAAATAAAACACATGATGGGAGTATGTTTTACAAGGAAATACTATTTCAGTCTTTCTACTTCAAAATTTCATATTTAATTGTGTTCAATGTGGTCCTTGGTGTTTCTTTGAAATAATTTGTGAAATTTACCAGCAATTTCTGAAAATTGGTAAATCCCAAACCATTTTTTTATTGTACTATATAATGGACCAATGTATGAATATTTTACAAACAGCTTTCCAGGTGAACTGCTGAAACTGCTGCACTTTGACTCCTGGGAGCTAAAAAACACATCAGATTGAGCTGTTTATAGTCATCAAGGCTGAGACTAACGCTAATCTAACCCTAACTTAACCTAACACTAACACTAACACTAACACTAAAACTGATTGACAGGGTTGATAATGTTGTTTCAGGTCCAACAGGGATCCAGGAGCATGTTCTGCTTGAGTAAATCATGTTACCTGATGATGATGATGATGATGATGATCAGACTGTGTCTGTGTCTGTGTGTGTGTGTGTGTGTGTGTGTGTGTGTGTGTGTGTGTGTTTGTGAGTGAGTGAGTGTTTGAATATTTCCACGTCCGCTCAGTCGCACGCAGATTCACGTTCATCAAGCCACTAACACTGTAACAGCGAGTGGCTCTAATGCCTCTGAACTTGTGCGTTCGGTCTTGAACGAGCGCCTTTAAAGCACGCAAAGCCTCTGTTGCTTATTATTTAAGCCTATTTACATTAGAGGAGAAAAATAACTCGTACAATTTTCCGTTCGGACAGGAAAGCACGCGTCGCACGACTTCCTGTTTAAGACATGCAGAGTGAACGGAGTCCGAAGGCAGGTCATTCATCAGCATTCGTTAGCACTGGAAAAACAAGTGTGTGTGTGTGTGTGTGTGTGTGTGTGTGTGTGTGTGCTTCTGTAGATTCTGAGGAACTTCAGACTGACGGTCTCATCCACAGAAGAGCTGAACACCAAATACACTCTCATTCTGCAGCCCGAATCTCCTCCCAGAATCACCTTCACCACACGCTCACTATAAATCACTACTGTTATTATTATTTTTGGAATATTGCAGTTTTTACTATAAATTATTTATCTGTGCTCATCATTATTTTAAGTTGAATAGGGTAAAAAAAATAACAAATCACATTAAGAATTGTAAACGTTTTTTATTACAAACATTAAAAGTTTTCTGAAATGTTATGTTTTTAATATGCAAATGAGGCATTGTCTAATTAAATATGCACCAAAAAATATAATAAATCTGAACATTGGATAAAGCAGGTTCATAATTCTTGTCTGATGTTGTCGTCATATCAGAGTTAAAGGTTTTTCCAGAGGGGATTTTGGATTTCTCTTTTATCACTCCATAAATCAGAAAATACTGTCAATAGACAGAAAACAAACACATTTTCACCATGTTTTAGGAGTAAAATGTTGTATAAATCAGTGTGAGTGAAATATGAACAAACCTTCTCAATATAGAGAGGAATAAAACTGTAAAGTTTGGTGTGTGTAAGAGATTGAAATCTACAGATGCAAATAGATAAAGAGCAATAAAAGAAACACTTAATTGTGCATTTTTGATGTTTTCTTTCCTCTAGTCTGAAAAAAACGCTTTATGAAAGGCCAAAAATTTCAAAACTGAGTAATGCATGAAAAAACTGGTTCCCCTTCTAGGGAACTCGCGCTGCGTCCTCTAGTGGACACTATGGGGACTGCCGCCTAAAGCACTGTTGAAACAACTCCAATCCCATTGGCTCACGTAGTCCGTGACGTCACAGGCGGGCGCCTGCCGAACACATCACTAACTTTAGTTGTCTTCAGGAGCCGTTTGTTTGTCTGTGCATGTGGAGAATCCAAGGCAAGTGAGCGTTTTAGAAAGTGTGTGTCTCCGTGTCTGAAGTTTCTGACACCCGAGGACACACTCGACCTATGCGTTACATGTCTTGGTGAGGAGCAAGCACATTCGGTGAGAATTTCCAACAAGAAAGCTCCGTTCACATTTGTCCATCTTCCATAGCTGTGTCCTTAGCTTGGTTAATGGAGTGTCCCTCCTGATTGGCTGGGTTCCCCATTTTTCCGAGTTATTTTAGTGGCCCAAGGCATCAGTGGCTTGCCCGCTTTCTGAGGGAAGGTTCGGTGTATGTCTGTCTCTTTTCTTGGTGCTCTCTCACCAGGCGAACAGGCATTCGCCGCAGCATGGCTGAGTGGACAATCCGTTCCCCATAGTGTCCACCAGAGGACACTGTGCGAGTTCCCTAGAAGGGGAACGTCTCGGGTTATGCATGTAACCATGGTTCCCCGAGAAAGAATGAGATGCTGCATCCCCTCGCCATGCCTACGGCTTGCCTGTTTTCACGTCTCCTTCAGACAACCAAGCTGGTGACGTGTTCGGCAGGCACTTCATACTTTATACTTCCAGGCGCCTGCCTGTGACGTCACGGGCTACGTGGGCCAATGGGATTGAAGTTGTTTCACACATGCTGGCGGCTACCATTGCATTTCTCAGACTTTACCAAAGGAAAAAAAATATGGAGAGATTGATTACATTGGTCAGAGAGAGAGAGAAAGATGCCACATTTGCCTTCACTCTTCTGTTTCATGCTGATTTAATCAATCAATCAGTATCAATCAGTCACTGCTGTGTGAGACGGACTGACACCATCAGCAGCACTTTCATTTGGACGTTCTGATCAGTCACACTCGGCTCTTTCAGTTTAAAACATTAACATCTATGGATTTGGCTGATGCTTTTATTGCCAGAACCTGAATCCTTGATCCTGGTGTTGCTGTACTAGATCTAGAGGAGATTTGCACTCAATATCTGACGCCGGTCTGTGTGATCAATATAATATCAAGTCAATAAATGAAGTGATAAAAAGATTCTTCTGATTCTGATTATGAAAGTGCTTCTCGTTTGTTTGATTATGAATAAATGTTTTGAAGAATGTGTGAGAGTGAGTGTGTGTGTGTGTGTGTACCTGGTATTTATCACGTTATGGGGACCAAATGTCCCCACAAGGATAGTAACACTAGTAAATTTTGACCTTGTGGGGACATTTTTGAGGTCCCCGTAAGGAAACAAGCTTATAAATCATACAGAATGAGTTTTCTGAGAAAGTAAAAATGCACAAAGTTTCCTGTAAGGGGTAGGTTTAGGGGTAGGGTTGGTGTAGGGCAATAGCACATAGAGTGAGTGTGTGTGAGTGTGTGTGCGTGCGTGCGTGTGTGTGTGTTTAGTCCGTCCCTCAGTGTTCAGATGAATCAAACTTTGTCCTTGACTCATGTGTCATCAGTCTGAGTCCTCTAGGTGGCGCTGCAGAAGATCAGCATATCTCCAGAAGTCTTGAGCTCAGGCTGGAGACTCCTTCAGCAGCAGGACACACTCAGGTAAGACACCTGTCTGCCTCGGTAAACATCAAATACGGGTTAAATGTTGATAGTCGGACACTGAGACTAAAATAAAACTCTCCTGGAAGAACTTCTTACATAACTGTTCCTCGCCTGTCCAGAGTTCAGATATTTGTCTCAGGGTCCATGAACGAGTGAATTCAGTCATAAAAACTACATCAGTGCAGTGATGCTCCTCCAGATCTCAGTTAGTTAGTCTGATATATCTCAGTTAGTTTAGCTAATCATTTTAGTAAGGGTAAAACGCCAAAGTAAAACCACATTATTGTTTTTATTCCAGAGAATCTGTGTGGTGCTTTGGTCTCCAGTGTTTTGGTCTCAAAGCGACTCTTTCTGCACAAAGGTTTGTTTGTCCACTAGCTACTGATTTACTACCTGCCTTTAGTCACTGCAAGCACACCGGCTTTATTACTGTTGCTCTGTACAGATACGCCTCTGACAGAGATAAAGACCTTCAGCACAAACAGTACAAGCAGAAATGAAAACTCATCATTTTCATCGCCCTCATGTTCCTCCCAAAACTCCATGACTTTCTTCTGTGGAACATAAAAGAAGATATTTTGAAGAATGTTGGGAACCAAACAGTTTGGGTTGTCATTGTACGGACAAAAAATATAATGGAAGTCAAAGTCAACATCCTTCAAAATATCATCTTTTGTGTTCCACAGGAAAGAGTCTGGTTTGGATCGGCTTGAGGAAGAGTAAATGATGACAGAATGATTTTTGGACGTTTTTAACACTTTCCCCGCCAGCTTTTTCAAAACAAAGTTGCCAGCCGCTTATTGATCATTTTCACAAAATTTTCATGGCCCCCAGAATATTATCTGAACATGCAATATGTCCGAAGAAAGAACAGAAACTCTGCTTTTAAAGGAAAGAAACTGTTTTATTCTAGCTTCATGCATTCTTTTTAAATCAACACTTAAATGTGGGTAAATTTCATGAAAAAAGTAACATTTGGAACAAAAAGCTGAGAAAATCATGTTTTTGTAAAAGACTACGTCTGGATTTGGATTCAGAAGGATGATCAAAACATAGATGCAGCAGACCGCTTCCATCAACACCCCCAAAAACAGTCCTAAACCACTTCTTGAGTCAACATTTCATTCAGTAACTTTAGGCAGTTTTGATTTACATGCTGTTTAATGCTTTATGATCGTGTTATTTTACATATGCATCTGATTACACATGATTCTGCTTCTTCTTCGCCCGTGTTTTGATCCAAAGATTCATTACTCTGTCAGAAGATGTGTAACAGCGCCTCCTACTGAATAACAGTGAAAATACGGAAAGACGGAAGTCGATATAGAGTCGGTCCACCGTTGCAGCTATAACAGCTTCCACTCTTCTAGGAAAGATTGTGTGTTAAGAGTTTAGGAAAATTGTTAAAAGTATTGAAAAAACAGAGATCGTAAATTCACTGAGCTCTTCAGAATTCTAAATGCAGACGGCATGGCTAGGTGAATTTATACATCTGTCGCATTTTCAAAAACCTGAATTCAGTAATTATTAGAAGACATGTCCCAATCCCTTTGTGCCAAATCCTCAGTGACAGTGTCAGTGTTGTATCATCGATTATGAAACAAATTCAGTTTCAGCTGTAAAGCAGCTCTACAGAAGACATCCGAGTCGTTATTCAGATCAAATTTTGTTCAGTGCAGGAAGAGACGTTTATATTTTTAATTCCTCGGCTGAGAAGGTTTTTGATCATTTTATGATCTCTTTGTGATTGATGGAGCAGATGCTTGTCTCAGCAGAAGGTGTTTGTGTTCAGTGAACAGTCAGATTTGTTTGTTTCTGTGTGGATATCTTTAGTAAGGACAAAGTCTGGATGGTCATTTTTAGAATCTGGGCTGATGTGCAAATAAACACTGACCTGAACTAGACCTGAACGCCCGGATCTGAATGTGAGACTGAGGGAGGATAAAGCGCGTGTGAGAGACAGTGAGAGTGTGCAGTGACTCGAGCGCAGTGGATCTGTCAGGATGGGAGGTGAGTATGAGCACACATCAGAACTGATGATTGATGCTGAGCTGAACTCAGTCTTCAGAGACCTGCTCCTCTAGACCTGATGAAGGATTCTGTGTAAAAGCTTCATGTCATGATGGATCTTTGCTCAGCTGATGCTTTGACAGAGTCTTGATCTCAACTGTAGAAGTGTTAGTTAGTCATTTTAATGGAATAAACATGTAAAACTGCTATAGTGAAACCTGTTAACCACTTAATTGTCAATCAGTACAGTAAAAATGATATATTAAAAGACATTGCATGTCATTTTGATTCTAAAATTATTTAAATATTTTATTTTATTTTTATTTTAAAATATTTAAGATTATAATTAATAAAATGATAAAATTGGTATTTTAAAATGAGTTTAATATTGAATTAAAATATATATTTGATGTTAAGATCAATTTTGGACTTTTGCACTGTTTTATGCACATTTCTAATTAAAATACAGGTGAATATTTGTAGTTTTCTATAAATTGTTCCTTGCTCAGTTCCTTGCTCTTGTACAGTAATTATGAATTATGTGTACATCTAATTAAACTTAAGGCAGACTTCATGGACGATCATCATTTAGTGCAGAGCAGAATCACAATTGAACTGAATCTCTGTCAGTATGATGTTGTATTTACATCTAGTGTGTGTGTGTGTGTGTGCGTGCGCGTAAGTGTGTGTGCGTGTGTGTGTGTGTGTGTGCGCGTGCGCGTGTGTGTGTGTGTGTGTGTGTGTGTTCGTGAGTGTGTGTGTGTGTTCGTGAGTGTGTGTGTGTGTGCATACAAACTCAAAATGACATATTTAAAAACCACACCCCCATTAGCTGTCACTCACTCCTGACTCCTCCCACACATGCCTGTTTGTCATTGGCTGATGCATCTGTCTGTCACAGTGACGTGTGATCATGTGTTTGTGCCAGTGTGTGTTTGCGGTGACCTGCAGTGAACTCTTCTTCAGCTCTCTGCTGTACTGACTCATGGATTTCTTTTATCCAGAACTGACTCTGTTCATTCATCGTCTCCGTCTCTGTCGGTCTCTTTGTGTTGTGACCTTCCTTTTCTCTTCATGAGTTTTTCTCTCCATGAACAGAATCTCAGCAGATGTCAGTCAGATGTGTTTCTCTCTTCAGTGTTTTGCAGGATCTTGTTTCGTCACTTTCACATCAAACACACTCGTCTGCTCTATTTTCACTCTTTCTCTCTTCTCTCTGTTCTTTTGTTTTCTTCTTTTCATTTGCTCGTGCTTGACAAATCTGTTCATCACAAAACATCACAGATATCTTCATCCAGTGAAGTCATGAAGAGAGACCGTCGTCATCACTGACTCACTGCAAACTATTGATCAGATCAGCCTGCAGATCACATGAAAGACTGATTCGAGTGTGGATGAGTTTATTCTGAGTGTGTCATGACATGAGAGACACAGAGACAATGGAGACGACCATCAGTTATACAGTTTATACAGTCAGTAGACACAAATATTAGTATTTCAGAGAGACGTGTGGTAAAATAAATGATTGAATGTTTAATATTTAGTCAAAATGTTCATCTCATTGTGTGATACTTCTGATGGAAAGAACATGAATCTGATTCTGTCTCTGTCTTTTTGTCTGTCTCTATCTGTCTGTCTGTCCATTCGTCTGTCCATCCATCCGTCCATCCATCTGTCTGTCTGTCTCTCTATCTGTCTGTCTGTTTGTCCATCTGTCTGTCTGTCTCGCTATCTGTCTGTCTCTCTATCTGTCTGTCTGTCTGTCTGTCTGTCTGTCTGTCTGTCTGTCTGTCTGTCTGTCTGTCTGTCTGTCTGTCTGTCTGTCTGTCTGTCTGTCTGTCTGTCTGTCTGTCTGTCTGTCTGTCTGTCTGTCTGTCTGTCTGTCTGTCTGTCTGTCTGTCTGTCCGTCCGTCCGTCCATCCATCTGTCTGTCTGTCTCTCTATCTGTCTGTCTGTCTGTCTGTCCATCTGTCTGTCCATCCGTCCGTCCATTCATCTGTCTGTCTGTCTCTCTATCTATCTGTCTGTCTGTCTGTCTCTCTATCTTTCTGTCTGTCTGTTCGAACATCTCTCTGTCTGTCTCTCTTTCCATCTTTCTCTCACTCTCTGTCTGTCTGTCCGTCCATCCATCCATCTGTCTGTCTGTCTCTCTATCTGTCTGTCTGTCTGTCCATCTGTCTGTCCATCTGTCCGTCCATCCATCTGTCTGTCTGTCTCTCTATCTGTCTGTCTGTCTGTCCATCTGTCTGTCCATCTGTCCGTCCATCCATCTGTCTGTCTGTCTCTCTATCTGTCTGTCTGTCTGTCCATCTGTCTGTCCATCTGTCCGTCCATCCATCTGTCTGTCTGTCTCTCTATCTGTCTGTCTGTCTGTCCATCTGTCTGTCCATCTGTCCGTCCATCCATCTGTCTGTCTGTCTCTCTATCTGTCTGTCTGTCTGTCCATCTGTCTGTCCATCTGTCCGTCCATCCATCTGTCTGTCTGTCTCTCTATCTGTCTGTCTGTCTGTCCATCTGTCTATCCATCTGTCCGTCCATCCATCTGTCTGTCTGTCTCTCTATCTGTCTGTCTGTCTGTCCGTCCGTCTGTCC